CTCAGGTCATGATCCCTGGTTCCTGGGATCCTTGCTCAGTGGGGAGTCTGCTTCTCCCTTTGCCCCCCCCCCATGCCTTCTCTTTTTCTCTCTCTTTCTCAAATAAATAAATAAAATCTTTAAAAATAAAAAATAAAAAAACAAGGGCATCTCATTTAATTTTGTTTACCCAGCATTTTCCCAATTTCCAACTCCCCACAAATAACAGCTATCAATACTCTGTAAAACTAGTGTTTGTGGAAGTTTGAGTACACTCCCCTTACCATTCCTGTGGAAACCTTTTAGGTATGTTTCCTTGCAGAACCAAGGAGTCTTCCTTGCAGAACTAAGGATTGGGTTGCTTTCACCTTTTGGCTATTGTGAATAATGCCTCTGTGAACATGAATGTATAAATATCTGTTCAAGTCATTGTTGTTTTGGATATATAGTTGGATCATATGGTAATTCTGTTTTTCAATTTTTGAGGAAATGACATACTGTTTTCCTAGCAGCTCCACCATTTTACATTCCCACTGAGATTTTCTGATATCCCATTCCCCAACATTTCAAAACCCAATGAGTTTTGGCATTGGTAACATTTCTTGCCTGATCACTAACAAATTACCCTTTGTATTCAACACTAAGACAGAAAAAACATTTCCAGTCAGTTATAAGATGGATTCCAGTCTTGGAGAAGTTAAAGTGTGAAAAAAAAAATGTGTATCTTAGAGTCAGTGAAATATAGTAAATGCACTAAAACCCCCTCCAAAAGTTTTTTTTTTTTTTTTTATAAATTACACAGCTTTTAACACAATCTTTATAAAACAGGAAAGTAAAGGTAGCTGCTCACCAGTAGTGTATGAAAATAGTTCCTACAAACATATAAACTACCAAAACTGAAACATGAAGAAATAGAAAACATGAACAGACCAATAACCAGCAACGAAATTTGATCAATAATCAAAAAACTCCCAACAAACTAAAGTCCAGGGCCAGAGGCTTCAGTGGTGAATTCTACCAAATATTTAAAGAATAGTTAATGCCTATTCTGCTCAAACTATTCCAAAACATAGAAAAGGAAGAAAAACTTTCAAATTCATTCTATGAAGCCAGCATTACCCTGATACCAAAACCAGATATATACTCCACTAAAAGAGAGAACTACAAGCCAATCCCTGATGAAGTTGGATGCAAGAATTCTCAGTAAAATATTAGCAAACTGAATCCAGCAATACATTAAAGAAATCATTCACCATGATCAAGTGGGATTTATTCCTGGGTTGCGAGGGCAGTTCAATATTCGCAAATCAATGTGATACACCACATTAATAAAAGAAGGGATAAGAACCATATGATCATTTCAATAGATGGAGAAAAAGCATTTAACAAAGTACAACATCCATCATCCATTCATGATAAAAACCCTCAACAAAGTAGGTTTAGAGGGAAAATACCTCGATGTAATGAAGGACATATATGAAAAACCCACAGTTTATATCATCCTCAGTGGGAAAAACTGATCACTTTTCCTGTATGGTCAGGAACAAGAGAGGGATGTCCACTCTCACCACTGTTATTTAACATAGTACTGGAAGTCCTAGCCACAGAAATCAGACAACAAAAAGAAATAAAAGGCATCCACACTGATAAGGAAGAAGTAAAACTTTCACTATTTGCAGATGACATGATACTCTATATAGAAAACCCAAAAGACTTCACCAAAAAAACTGCTAGAACTGATACACAAATTCAGTAAAGTCAGAGGATACAAAATCAGTTGTACAGAAATCTGTTGCATTTCTATGCACCAATAATGAAGCAGCAGAAAAAGAAATTAAGGAATCAATCCCATTTACAATTGCACCAAAAACAATAAGATACATAGGAATAAACCTAACCAAAGAGGTGAAAGATCAGTACTCTGAAGACTATAGAGCACTGATGAAAGAAATTGAAGAGAACACAAAGAAATGGAAAGACAGTCCATGCTCATGGATTGGAAGAACAAATATTGTTAAAGTGTCTATGCTACCCAAAGCAATCTACACATTTAATTGCAATCCCTGTAAAATACCATCAGCATTTTTCGCAGAACTAGAATAAACAATCCTAAAATTTGTATGGAACCACAGAAGACCCCAAGTAGCCAAAGCAGCCTTAAAGAAGAAAAGAAAAGAAAAAAAGCAAAGCTGGAGGCATCACAATTTTGAACTTCAAGCTATATTACAAAGCTATAGTCATCAGGACAGTATGGTACTGGCACAAAAATAGCCACCTAGATGAATAGAACAGAATAGAAAACCCATAAATGAACCCACAACTATATGTGGTCAGTTAATCTTCCACAAAGCAGGAAAGAATATCCAATGGGAAAAAGAGTCTCTTCAACAAATGGTGTTGGGAAAACTGGACAGTGACATGCAGAAGAATGAAACTGGACCACTCTCTTACACCATACACAAAAATAAATTCAAAATGGATTAAAGACCTAAATATGAGACTTGAAACCATAAAAGTCATAGAGGACAGCGGAGGCAGTAACCTTTTTGACGTTGGCTGTAGCACCTTCTTCCTAGTTATGTCTCTGGAGGCAAGGGAAACAAAAGCAAAAATAAACTATTGGGAGGGACTTCATCAAAATAAAACACTTCTGCACAGCGAAGGAAACAACAAAACTAAAAGGCAACCTTCAGAATGGGAGAAGATAGTTGCAAATCAATATCTGATAAAAGGTAAGTATCCACAGTATATAAAGAACTTGTGAAACTTGACCCCTAGAAAATGAATAAACCAATTAAAAAATGGTCAAAAGACATGAACAGACATTTTTCCGGAGAATACATACAGCTGGCCAACAGCCACATGAAAAGATGCTCAACATCACTTATCATCAGGGAAATACAAATTAAAACTACAATGAGAATCACTTCACACCAGTCAGAAGGGCTAAAATATAAAACCCAAAAATAACAGGTGCTGGCAAGGATGTGGAGAAAGGGGAACCCTCTTGCACTGTTGGTGGGAATGCAAACTGGTGCAACCACTCTGGAAAACAGTATGGAGGTTCCTCAGAAAGTTAAAAATAGAACTACCCTGTGATCCAGCAATTGCACTACTTAGTTATTTATCCAAAGAATACAAAAATACTAATTCAAAGGGATACATGCACCCGATGTTTATAGCAGCATTATTTTTAATAACCAAATTATGGAAGGAACCCGTGTCCATTGACTGATGAATGGATAAAGAAGAAGTGGGGTGTGTGTATGTGTGTGTACATACATACACGTGCATGCACACATGCATTGGAACATTACTCAGCCATAAAAAAGAATGAAATCTTGCCATTTGCAATAACATGGATGGAGCTAGACAGTATTATGCTAAGTAAAATAAGTCAGTCAGAGAAAAACAAATACCATATGAGTTCATTCATGTGGAATTGAAGAAACAAAATAAGCAAACAAACAAAGGAAAAGAGAGAGGGAGAGAAACCAAGAAACAGACTCTTACTTAACTTTAGAGAACAAATGAATGGTTACCAGAGGGGAGGTAGGTGGTGAGATGGGTGAAATAGGTGATGGGGATTAAGGAGTGCACTTGCTGTAATGAGCACCTGGCATTGTATAGAAGTGATGAATCACGACATTGTACACCTGAAACTAATATTGCACTGTATATTAACTAACTGGAATTTAAATAAAAACTTTAAAAAAAGTCTTTCTGAAATGTATTTTTATCTCATTTCTAAAATGAATGTGCTTCAAGGACAGTCATTTTTTCAAATTTACTTAAGAATTAGCGACAATTTGGAATAAGAGTAAAAACCCCATAAGACAGTAAACAGTGTATCCTGGATTTTTGCTTCCATATTTTTGTGATTTCTGGTAAATGTCCTAATTATGCTCATTTCTCTTTGTTTTGTTTAAGGATTGTTCAAGTTTAGAAGAATATAATATTGCTGCAGCATTGCTCCCTTTGACCAGTGCTTTCTACAGGGTAAGTTTCATTGGTCTATACATAAGCTTATTATGATTTATATAAATATATGCAGTTTGATCTATCATGGAAATACATGAAATCTTTTCCCCTTGTATATATAAGATATATCTGTGGTTATGTTTATTATAATATTTGTTGCATACAGTTGACCCTTGAACAACACAGATTTGAACTGTACAGGTCCACTTATTTGTGGCTTTTTTCCAGTACTGTACTGCAAATGTATTTTCTCTTATGATTTTCTCAATAGCATTTTTCTCTGGTTTATTGTAAAAATATAGTATATGATACATATAACATACAAAATATATGTTAATCAACTGTTCATGTTATCAGTAAGGATTCCAATCAACTCTAAGGTATGAATAGCTAAGTTGTGGGGGAGTAACAGTTATATACAGATTATTGACTGCACAGGGAGTCAGTGCCCCTAACCCCCGCATTTTCAAGAGCCAATTGTACTGTGTGTAGAAAATTTAATATATAATATTAAATCATCTCCTAAGATAGAACCCGACCCATCCCATCCCTTCTTTTTCTTTTTTTGTTTTATTTTTCTTTACAGCATTTTGTAACACCCGAAATTACATATTCATTTGTTTACATTTGCATATCTTCCCCTACCACAGAAAATAAATTCCATGAGGCTAGGATATTGTCTCATAAATATTTATTGATAAGGCCAGTTTTTTTTTTTTTTTTTAACTTTACTTCAGTCTGTCCACAGTTAAAGGTCTTAACCCAAAGGTTCTCCATAATCAGAAGCTCTTTCTCTGCTAAGTCACTGCATATCCCTCTTTCTTCCTATTTATCCTCCCTCCCTCTTTTAAAACAGAAAGTGGAATTTATGACATTCACACTTCTAAGAACTGGCAAGTCATACTGACCATGCTCAGGAAACAGGACAAATTTCAGAAATGTCAAACAAATGAATTTTAGGTTTAGAAACTAATGACAACTAACTGGAGCTTGAGCATCATCTTTTGGTCTTCCCTCCCCAGCTTCACCCTAGCTCCAGGCCTACTCCATTTTTCCTTCAGTGCATACATACTAACCTTCTCTGAACTCCCTGATCCCTTCATCTCATTCCCGTGCTAGCATGGAGAACACTTACAAAAATTGGCCAGGCTGTCCTGGATCCTAAGGCACCTAAGAAATTTGTCTCTATATCTCAGAGCAGCTAGAAAACTTAGTCCACTGTCTAACTAGCCTTCATATAAGCCCTCACCTGGCATTTGTTAAAGAAAATGGCATTTTAAATCTTTCCCACTTTCAACATCTAAAATATTTTTTAAACTTAAATATTATGTAGAAATAAATAAGAAACACAGGGAAAATAAGAATTGACAATAGAAACTCAATTGCTTAAGTGACCCATTGCTTATGATTTTTTTTTTTAAGGAGAATCATTTAACCATTTTACAGTGTATATTAGTGAGGGTTTGATCATGATAGCAGAAGCACCATGAATGATATAATTAAATAACTTATTATAAGGGACCAGCCCTTATATTGTTATAGAAACTGGGGGGAAAGTTTATGGAAGGCTCTACTTGTGGGCCTGAAGTCTCTGTAGGTCATGACACCATGAAGAACAAGGACAAACTGGAATCTCTGTATAGCTCTTACTTATTCTAACCTCAGTAATGCAAATGACCCGCAAAAGAAGCAGCACTGTTGGCCATAGCACTGCAAGCCACACTTGCATCTGGCCCTGGGCTAGGAGAAGCTGAAGGAGATGTGGCAGGAACTGGAGGAACTGTGAGCTCAGTCCCTTCCCCGTATCGACATGAGCCAGCAGGGCAGTGACAAAGCGTATGAGCTGTATCAGTGCATCCTATATTGCCTTCAGAGTGTAATGACTGCTGCTTCATTTTTGTCCAAATCTCAGAGAAATTTCTCTTCTGGCCAACCCGAACCCTCGAATCAGAGAGGAAAGAGAATTCTGGGAAACGTTGTCCTAGCTTAGCTTAGTTTATACAGTGCATAACCATCATACTGGTTTTAGTTTTGTGGGAGTTTTTATGAAGTTAATAAGTTGGGCTAAATGCCATACTGTTTCTCTGTGTTATCAAACAATAATTCAAACTTATGTTTTAGGGGTGGGTTTATGAATTTAATTTATTCTTGTTGGCTTGGTTTGATTTGATTTGGTTCGGGCATGAATTAGGAGCCAGAAACCACGCCAGTAATATGAACAGGAAAAATTTAATAAGTTATTAAGTAGTAACAGGGGATTAACTGCTAAGAAGTAAAGATAATTCTGAAGAATAGAGGAATATCAGAAACAGAGAGCAGCTACTACCTTTGGGCTTAGGCAGAGTCCCCAAGAAAGGAACAAACTTGGAAGAGGGCTCCTCCCCAACAAGACTTGTGATTCAGACCTTGCTGGAGCAGTGTTGATTTGGCCACTGGATGGCATAGAAATTCACTGAGGTGCCACAGACCAGAGCTGGCAAGCAGGAAACTACCTCCTGGAGTTCTGGCAAAACTTGCTGGGAATCCCCCTCAGTCGAGAGCCAGTGAAACTTGATAGGAAGCCACTGTCTGGAGTACCACTGAAACTCCATAAATAGCAAGCACTTTGGGGTGTCCACCTCTAGCAGGTGCATGCCATAGGAGCACACCAGAACCAGGAAAAGAAACCACTTTCTACTGCTGTGTCCCTTCAGCCTTTATACTGACAAAACAGTATTGTGCCAGCTGCGAAAGGAGAAGCGTTTACATATCCAGCTCCAGTAACACAAAACAGGGCAAAGAAAGGTCAGTTTGGAGGAAAGAGACATTGCATTGGTAACTGACACAGTGGGGTTAGGGAGAGTGAGAGGTAAGGGTGGATCATACCAATTCTTAGATACTTCCTAAATTTCTAACTTATGGGAAATTATTTCTGGTGTATAATTCAGGAAAATTCTGTAGATGTAAATTGTATTATCCTGGCCACAGATTGCAAATGAGCCATGCTCATAGTGTTCAGCCAGTATAAACTCCTGGGCCTTGCTCAGCATGCTTCAGGGAGTGGACTCAGCTGTTTGTCTTATTTTAACTTATTTGAAAATATTTTTAATATTATTTGTCTTTTTTTTCAATGGATCAAAAGTTTATTGAACATCTCAATATACAGAGTTACTATGCCAGGCAACATCATGGACAGCCACGTGAGTGAAACACTGACATGGCCACTAGGAGCTTATATTAGTCTTTCTGATACCATAAATAATAAACAAGAAATCAAACTGTTCCACAGTTGTATCAACTGGATGGACATTTCCTTAAATAAAATATATGTGTGTGGTTAGAAAATTCAAATACTACAGAAACATATAAAATGCAAAACAAAAGTTTTCTTTCCCACTTCTACCCATATCCTCTGACAGTTGACTTCTTGGGGGGAAAAGAGTCACTCGTTATTGCCAGCGGATAAAATACAGATAAAATTACTTTTTTAAACTAATCAAACCATTCACAGTTTCTCACCTTGTTTTGTTCACTTAGTTGTATGTCTTGGAGATCTTTCCATATACCCAATTAGGTATATAACAGTAATGCCTAATTATTTTTAATGACTGCATATATATTTTCTTAATAAAAAGATATACCTCTGTGTGTGTGTCTGGATTTACCATAAGCATAAGCGCAGAATATTTCATTGACCCAGATGAAATATGCTGTTCATCTTTTACCATTTTCCTTTGTGTAAAAATATCCCAAGATGTTTCATTTGTATCATATATCTTAGATTCTTGGGAATTTTTTATGCCACAACCACCACAAATTTGAGGGATTTTTTTTCCCTTACAGTTCTCTCACTTTTCTCTACTTTTAATGAGTTATATGTAACTCATGCTTTAACTTATGAAGCCTTTCTTGAAGGTGGTGTTTTAACAGCCAGGTTTAAATTGTTAAGGATTACTGGGGCACCTGGGTGGCTCAGTTGGTTAAGCATCTGCCTTTGGCTCCAGTCCTGATTCCAGCGTCCTGGGATCGAGCCCCTAATCAGGCTTACTGCTCAGCAGGGAGTCTGTTTGTGCTTTTCCCCCTGCCCCTACCCCCCACTCATGCTCTCTCTCTCAAATAAAATGTTTTTTAAAAATTGTTAAGGATTAGTTTAATGGTGGAAAACGATGTAATCATTTACATTTATACTATGCTTATCATTTATATGATGCTTTAATTCTTAGTTGAGCAAACAGTTATTAGGAATGGCAAGCCCTGTGCTTACATTTGTTGCAGAGTTGCAGGTGAATAGCACATGGTCCTTACCCTGAAGAAACATACTGTCTAATGGCCTTTCATATTCATTAATCAGCTATTGATAGAGGAACATTTCACAGTTACTGAATAACATTGGGTCACCCTTTGTTTACTTAGGTATTCAAAAATCATGTTTGTTAAATTAAGAACTGAAATATATGCTCAAAGTTTAAAGCAGGGGTTCTTGTGTAAATGTCACTTTTTTGGAATAAAAAGAATTAAAGAGTAAGCTAAAACCCAATAGAGCAGAAATAGAACCAAAATAGGATACCCTTGGGTAACAGTGAAGGCCATGGGTCCCTTCATCATGAGCCATTGTGTAATGCCCTTTCCTCCATGATCCATATCTCTTAGAGTCACCTTGTTGTAGTTCTTAATCACCCAAGTAATCTAGAGAGTATCCTAGAATCTATCAAAATATGACAGGTCCCTTCTTTTACTTCTTTGAGGCGCGCTGGTTACTGATGCTCAAAATGATGCCCTGAAGAACGGAAGCTTTCTCCCCTGGTACTCATTGTAGTTCATGTTTACCCTGGGAAGAAATAGAAATACCCTATTTATCTTAAATTCAAGCACCCTGAAGTGATGCATTCCCTTCCCAGATTCCAAAGATCCCCCATACCCAGGTGGCACTTTGTGGATGATTTATTGTTCAGGATAGGTCTTACTTCATAAGACATCATTCAGCCTCTCATTCTCAATAGAAGTGGATTTATTTCCTCTTTAAAATTCTCATTTCATTA